ACCTCACCCCAACAGCTGTCCCTTATGGGCATTCTGACCCCACCCACATCATCACAAACCCCACCTACACCACAGCCCCCCATAGGCCCCCACCAAGGCTCTCGCTCCCCCAACCCAAATATTCTTGCAGGACCACAGTGATAGAAAAGAAGCTGAAAGTTTGGTACACAAACGTGGACGGAATAACGAATAAGCATGAGGAGTGGAACGAAAGAATCAGTGAGAAATCCCCAGACATCATAGCAGTCACAGAAACAAAACTCGCTGAGACAATAACAGACGCAATCTTCCCACCGGGATATCAGATCCTGAGGAAAGATAGAAGGAGCCGATGGGGATTTGAGGAAATGGAAGGCATGGACGTGATTGGAGAAAGAGACGACATAGTAGGTACAATTCAGTCTGGAGAATATGAAGTAGTCGTTGGAGTAATGTATAACCCACCACAGAAGTGCAGGAGGCCAAGAGAGGAGTACGAAGAAAACAACAGGGCGATGGTGGACACACTGGCTGAGGTGGCAAGAAGAGCTCACTCGAGCAGAGCAAAGTTACTGGTATTGGGCGATTTCAACCACAGGGAGATCGACTGGGAAAACCTGGAGCCACATGGGGGTCCCGAAACGTGGAGAGCCAAGATGATGGATGTGGTACTTGAAAACCTCATGCATCAACATGTCAGGGACACTACCAGAGATAGAGGGGAGGATGAGCCAGCAAGACTGGATCTTTTGTTCACCCTGAGCAATTCAGACAATGAGGACATCACTTACGAGAGGGCCCTTGGAGCTAGCGATCACATGGTTCTGAGTTTTGATTATATAGTAGAGTTACAAGTGGAGAAGGTAACAGGAATTGAATGGGAAAAGCCAAACTGTAAAAGGGGGGACTACACAGGTATGAGAAACTTCCTGCAGGAGGTTCAGTGGGACAGAGAACTGGTAGGAAAATCAGTAAACGAGATGATGGAATATGTAGCAAAAAGTGCAAGAAGGCAGAGGAAAGGTTTGTTCCCAAGGGAAACAGAAACAATAGGAAGACAAAAGCGAGTCCTTGGTTTACCCGAAGGTGTAGGGAGGCAAAAACTAAGTGCACCAGAGAATGGAAAAGGTACAGGAGGCAAAGGACCCAGGAAAATGGGGAGATTAGTAGAAGAGCCAGAAACGAGTTCACACAGATAAGGAGGGAGGCCCAGCGACAGTACGAAAACAACATAGCATCGAAAGTCAAATCTGACCCGAAACTGCTGTATAGCCACATTAGGAGGAAGACAACAGTCAAGAAACGATCAAGAGGTATGTGAGGAGCTCAACATTAGATTCAAGGAAGTATTTACAATGGAGACAGGAAGGCCTCTGGGGGGACAGACCAGATGGGGACACCAGCAAGGAATATACCAACAAGTGTTGGACGACATACATACAGATGAGGAGGAGGTGAAGAAACTGCTAAGGGACATTGATACTTCAAAGGCAATGGGACCGGACAACATCTCCCCGTGGGTCCTTAGAGAGGGAGCGGACATGCTGTGCGTGCCACTTACCACAATCTTCAACACGTCCCTGGAAACTGGGCAACTACCTGAGGTATGGAAGACGGCAATTGTAGTTCCCATTTTTAAAAAAGGAGACAGAAAAGAGGCACTAAATTATAGACCTGTGTCATTGACGTGTATAGTATGCAAAGTTATGGAGAAGATTATCAGGAGGAGAGTGGTGGAGCACCTGGAACAGAACAAGAGTATAAACGCCAACCAGCATGGATTTATGGAAGGCAAATCCTGTGTCAGAAACCTTTTGGAGTTTTATGATAAAGTAACAGAAGTAAGACACGAGAGAGAGGGGTGGGTTGATTTCATCTTCTTGGACTGCAAGAAGGCCTGTGACACAGTTCCTCACAAGAGATTAGTGCAGAAGCTAGAGGATCAGGCGCGTATAACAGGAAAGGCACTGCAATGGATCAGAGAATACCTGACAGGGAGGCAACAACGAGTTATGGTACGTAATGATGTATCAGAGTGGGCACCTGTGATAAGCGGGGTCCCACAGGGGTCGGTCCTAGGACCAGTGCTATTTTTGGTATATGTGAACGACATGATGGAAGGGTTAGACTCAGAAGTGTCCCTGTTCGCAGATGATGTGAAGTTAGTGAGGAGAATTAAATCAGATGAGGACCGGACAGGACTTCAAAGAGACCTGGACAGACTGGACATCTGGTCCAGCAACTGGCTTCTCGAATTTAATCCCGCCAAATGCAAAGTCATGAAGATAGGGGAAGGGCACAGAAGACCGCAGACAGAGTATAGGCTAGGTGGCCAAAGACTGCAAACCTCGCTCAAGGAGAAAGATCTTTGGGTGAGTATAACACCGAGCATGTCTCCGGAAGCACACATCAACCAGATAATTGTTGCAGTATATGGGTGCCTGGGAAACCTGAGAACAGCGTTCCGATACCTTAGTAATGAATCGTTCAAAACGCTGTACACCTTGTACGTCAGGCCCATACTGGAGTATGCAGCACCTGTTTGGAACCCGCACTTGATCAAGCACGTCAAGAAACTAGAGAAAATGCAAAGGTTTGCGACAAGGTTAGTTCCAGAGCTAAGGGGGAATGTCCTATGAAGAAAGGTTAAGGGAAATCGGCCTGACGACACTGGAGGACAGGAGGGTCAGAGGAGACATGATAACGACGTATAAAATACTGCGCGGAATAGACAAGGTGGACAAAGACAGAATGTTCCAGGGAGGGGACACAGAAACAAGAGGTCACAATTGGAAGTTGAAGACACAGATGAGTCAGAGAGATATTAGGAAGTATTTCTTCAGTCATAGAGTTGTCAGGCAGTGGAATAGCCTAGAAAGTGACGTAGTGGAGGCAGGAACCATACACAGTTTTAAGACGAGGTTTGATAAAGCTCATGGAGTAGGGAGAGACACGGCCCAGTAGCAACCGGTGAAGAGGCGGGGCCAGGAGCTAAGACTCGACCCCTGCAACCACAAATAGGTGCGTACAAATAGGTGAGTACACACACACACACACACACACACACACACCTACACACATTCAGCTTTCGCTTCACACAGTGAGGGCCTGGGTTCGATTCCCGGGGAGGGTAGAAATATTGGGCGTGTTCCCTTACACCGGTTGTTTTTTTTCCCCATCAGTAAAATGGGTGCCTGGGTATTAGTCGACTGGTGTGGGTTGCATCCTGGGACAAAGTTGACCGAATTTACCGGAAATGCTCTGCGTAACAAGGGGCTTTCTATGTAGTAGTATGTAATTGATGTCAACTAAGCCTGTATACCTTGTACATGTACTTGTAGAAATAAAGATACCATTATTATTATTATTTTATTATTATTATTATTATTATTATTATTATTATTATTATTATTATTATCATTATTGTATATCTCTCCTGTTTTCCTACCTACTCCTTTAGCTTTTGATCCAGTCTCTTGTGCTGTACTGTATCAAAAACCCACTTACAGTCCAACAGTCCTGTCTAACTTCTGTTACGTGTCTCAGAACTGTTAAAGTCCAACATGTTGTTTAAGGTCCTGACACACTCCTCAAATTAGTTCTTGATTAACCGGGTTGTGGTTCGTACGTTGGACTGCTTGTGGCTAGCAGTATTAACTTGACTGATCAGGCCTTGATCCACCGGGAGACCCGGTCTGGGACTGAGTCGTGGGGGGCGTTGACCCCCGAGGTATCCTTCATATATTCTTCAATAAGTAATGTCCAAGTGAATTTTAATACAGGAGTTGTGAAGGCAGTAAGAAGTGAATTTGTCGCTTTTAGAGAACAGAAAAAAAGGAAATACGAGAAATATTTGTAAAATCTTGAGAAGACGTGGAAAAACTGACGGAAAATATTTATAGATCAGCATTGAAGATACACTTGAAGGATGGACAAGAAGAAGGATAAAGATGAATGCAGGAATTATTTCTTCATAAATCTTGCAACTGAGGAGTTTAATCAGCTGCAACAACTATTGCAACTTTGAAATATGATTAATTGAGAGTAGAAGACGTGAATGCACGAGCGAGGCTCTCCTAACATAACCACTAATTGTTAAATATTTACGTAAACACTTTCTCAAACGTTGTTTATGTTTCTTAAGACAATCACTTTCACACACACACACACACACACACACACACACACACACACACACACACACACACACACACACACACACACACACACACACACACACACACAGAACATGGGAGGAGAGAAGCTGCGACTATCAATGAGTGAGAAGCAGCTGGGGTGAATATGATATCAAACATTGTGACAGTATTGGCCATACAGTGTATAACAGCAGTGACTCAAGCAAGATTACCAAACTTCGGAAGAACAGCATCCAGAATATAGAATTATTTAGAGCCTCATATACGGCCAGTCACTGAGTACGTAGCACCAGCATGAAGCCCCAAACCTAGTCGAGTATGTGAAGAAACTCGAAAAGTTCCAAAGGTTTGCAACCCAAGTAATATGAGAGCTGAGAGGATTATGCTATGATGAGAAGTTACCTGAGATTAATCTGACGCTCTGAGAGGCGTGGAGGGTGAGGGGTGACATGATTACTACGTATAAAATCTTAAGAGAAATTGATATGGGTTATATAGACTGAATTAAGAGGACCAGAATCAAGAGGTCAGGTAGAAGCTGAAACACAGATGACTCATGGGAATGTAAGTATTTCTTTAGTCTCATTGTAGTTGAAAAGTGGAATGACTTAGATGAGACAGAGGTGGAGGTAAACTCAATACACAGCTTCAAGAGTAGATATGATAAGGTCCAAAAGGAGAGAAGTCTATGATGCCAACCATACTGGTCTAGAAGACCGGGCCCGGAGCTGAGCCTCAACCCGTATAAACACAACTCGGTGAGTACAGCACTGTGAGTACACACATACACACACGCTTCAGTATCTTCAGAAAATATCAGACTATAAACAACTGACTGACGTGTTGTTTCGTCTTTATTTACAGTGTTGTTGTTGATGCCTCCTGCTGCACCACACACTGCCCTCTCACCTCACTAAGTAAGTATATCTTCATATCTTGTATGATGTCCTGTATTTGACACTGTATTCTTGTGGATGTATTTGATACAATAATGCCCTTACCTCCGGAGGTAAGTCCTGACCTCGTAAGTCTTCACATGGCTCATGTTCAATATGCTAGCGATGTTATGAACGTAATCCCTAATATTGTGACATTGTCGTGACGTAAAGGGAAGCGACGTAAGACACCTTATGACGCCGGGAACCGAGTATCTTGTCACGTTAAGGTCCCACCATAACACTTAACCCTAATTCTAAAATATATTAACACTTGCAGTTTATAAGCTACAAGTAAACAACTTATGGAGTAACAGGTAAACAACGTCAATAGTAAGAAGAATCCCAGTAGACACTAACAGAGCAACACGGCACCATAATCACTCCTGGTGACACACCACACTAGAGACTGTCTTCACGTGAAGCGTGACACTGCTTGGACACCCCAACACTGACACATTAATCTTTGTCTCTCCCTCAAGGTTAATCCGGACACACCAAGAGTTGTTAACACTTCCGCTAAGACGGCAACAAACGTTTCCCCTACAACGTTCATTTAGTAAAACATTTTTTGACGTATTTCTCCGACACTTTCCGAATTTAAAGTTAGTGCATATTGGCTTTTAGTCCTATAGAAGTAATGTGAAATTTATGCTACAGTACATAAAGTGCAAAATAAGTATAGGGGAGTGAACACTTGTCTGCGTTGCAGCGGCGTCGAGAACCATCGTATAAAAAAGTGATTAGTGTATAATTATTGTTAGTAATACCGACAACAATTGAAAGTAAACACTTGCAACTTATTGAGAGATTTGTTAAAACAACGTTTGACCCACTAGGAACTTCGTCTAGCCAATACATACATTACTTGGATACAATGAGTATGTATAGAGGATGATGTTGGGGTAGTAGTAGTAGTAATAGTAGTAGTAGAAGTAGTAAGTAGTAGTAGTAATAATAGTAGTAGTAAAAATCATGTCTCCAGAAAAAACAGTGTCGTGTTTTTGAAGTAAGATTCGTGTTAGAATTCCTGAAATACTAAAGATTCTATTATTCTATTTTAACAAAATTGGAGACAGATGTGAAGGTCTCTTGTGTCTTCGTGTGGCTGATTCTGCAATATCTAGTCGGGCATCCTTCCATCTCATAAGATGGTTAGTGTTGCTCTGATGCTGCACATAGGCACTGGTCAGATTGACACATACGCTGGCATGTGCTCGTTCGGTTGTGTTCCCAGTGTGCCAGGTGCTTCTTCAGTGGATACTTTACCATGCTTGGACTATTAAGTGGGAGATTCTAGTTTTGGTGAGGTCGTTTATACAAGGCAGTGGTTGTGACTATTCTGATAGTGATTAGGTGTATACTGTAAGACAGTTTGAATAGCTTGGAAGCTTGGAAGAATGATGAATTTGTAAAAACTGGTGTCGCTGCATGGAGAGTTAAATATTTTGAAGACGTTTTTCATGTTATGCCTAATAAAGGCAGGATAATGGAGCTATGGTAATGGGTTACTCATACACGAGGCTCTTGGGAAACCTTTTTATAATATCTCATTTAGTTTCGGTGTCCTGACGAGAAAAAGAAACAAGCGAAATAATTTTATATGTAGATTTTCTGTAGATCTTGAGTTAGTTATAGACTTAAGGATTTTGTTAGGGATTATGTTGTCGAAACATTCAGCTTCCATGTAAAAATTCCTAGACATGGCGTTACTGTTAGTAATAGTTCATTACCAGGTATATACAATGATAGATTTAAGCAGGTATATATAATGGCAGGGTGACATTTGCTCTTATTGACACTTCTCAAGTTAAGAACGACAAGAACTATGTTGAGACAGGCATCAAAATTAATAACTGGTCGTCTACACTGCAAACTAAATTGTGTGTCGTCCTAAAGACAGTAAAGTTAACTTATGACACTGAGTTTGACTCTGTGATCATTACTGATGTTATGTCATCACTTAAAGCTCTTGACTCACATAATGACTAACAGCATTCTTATTGGAGAAGGTATATATATATATATATATATATATATTTAAAACTCTGGGATAAAGGTATTAAAGTATAATTGTAATGGATTCCATCACACATTGGATTACTGTTTCATGTAGAATATAATTTTGGTGTGTCTGTGATTATCACTGAGAATAATATTTTGAAATAAGTTAATAATCAAATTGAATTTTATATTAATGCAGTTAGAAGTCTGAGTTTATAGATCTATCGCCCACTATGATAACATGAACGTAGATAATGTCATTATATTAATGAAAATCAGAGACTAGGAATATTAAGCAAATTTCCTAAATTTGGTTGCAATAAGTGAGCTGTAGATATAAATCCAGAAACATTCCTCTTAGCTCTCTTGGGGCCTAGTTCAAAAGCCTTCTGAGCATCCATATGCTCTTGCGCAACCGTCCATAGGATGGATATGGGGTGCACATTAAATTACCAGCGTCGTTGAGAAAATCTAAAATCTAATGTAATCTAATTCTGAAGCAATGCATCCTAACATGTTTGCGACTCATCTGTATTTTCACTTATCAGCTGTGTCCTCGTGTTTCTCTTTCCAGTCTCTCCAACATTCTGTCCCTATTCACACTATCAATTCCTCTCAGTAATTTGTAAGATGTGCATGTGTGTGTGTGTGTGTGTGTGTGTGTGTGTGTGTGTGTGTGTGTGTGTGTGTGTATGTACTCACCTAATTGTACTCATATTACAATCCAGGGACAATGAGGCCTGTTGTCCTGGGTGTAAAGGGCAACAAGGAGCAGAACAAACACAGCTGAATTACTTTGAAATACATTTTTCTTCACCAAGAGCAATGTGGATATTTACACATATGTAAAGTATATACAGTTGAAAATGTATGTGTACAACACGGTTTAGGCAAGGCCAAGACAGCCTGGAGACAGAATGGACAACCGTGCTCAACCAGCTCTAGTATGGAAATGACACGGGTATACAGGTAGGTGGTGCCCACAGCTCCTCTACGATTGCCAGAACCACGTTCTCATTGGCTGAACCTAGGTACTGATCGAACGATGGGGCCCCGTCGTTCGGCCCTAGTACTGGTTCGCTGGTTGGGTAGATATCCTTTCAATGAGGGTGTGTACATGCCCAGAATAAAGTTTAAGTACTCTTCGCATGCCACAACTCACCTAATTGTACTCACCTAATTGTGGTTGCAGGGGTCGATACTCAGCTCCTGGCCCCACCTCTTCACTGAGTGCTACTAGGTCCTCTCTCTCCCTGCTCCATGAGCTTTATCATACCTCATCTTAAAGCTATGTGTGGGTCCTGCCTCCACTACCTCACTTGCTAGGCTATTCCACTTCCTGAGTACTCTATGACTAAAGAAATACTTCCTAACATCCCTTTCCTTCATCTGGGTCTTCAACTTCCAATTATGACCCCTTGTTTCTGTGTCCCCTCTCAGGAACATCCTGTCTCTGTCCACCTTGTCTATTCCACGCAGTATTTTGTATGTCGTTATCATGTCTCCCCTAACCCTCCTGTCCTTCAGTGTCGTCAGGCCGATTTCCCTTAACCTTTCTTCATAGGACATTCCCCTTAGCTCTGGAACTAACCTTGTCGCAAACTTTTCCACTTTCTCTAATTTCTTGACGTGCTTGATCAAGTGCGGGTTCCAAACTGGTGCTGCATACTCCAGTATGGGCCTGACGTACACGGTGTACAGTGTCTTGAAGGATTCCTTACTAAGGTATCGGAACGCTGTTCTCAGGTTTGCCAGGCGCCCATATACTGCAGCAATTACCTGGTTGATGTGTGCTTCCGGAGACGTGCTCGGTGTTATACTCACCCCAAGATCTTTCTCCTTGAGCGAGGTTTGCAGTCTTTGGCCACCTAGCCTATACTCCGTCTGCGGTCTTCTTTGCCCTTCCTCGATTTTCATGACTTTACATTTGGCGGGGTTAAATTCGAGAAGCCAGTTGCTGGACCAGGTGTCCAGCCTGTCCAGGTCTCTATGAAGTCCTGCCTGATCCTCATCTGATTTAATTCTCCTCATTAACTTCACATCATCTGCAAACAGGGACACTTCTGAGTCTAACCTTTCCATCATGTCGTTCATATATACCAAAAATAGCACTGGTCCTAGGACCGACCCCTGTAAGACCCCGCTCGTCAGAGGTACCCACTGTGATACCTCATCACATACCGTGACTCGTTGTTGCCTCCCTGTCAGGTATTCTCTGATCCATTGCAGTGCCCTTCCTGTTATACGCGCCTGATCCTCTAGCTTCTGCACTAATCTCTTGTGAGGAACTGCGTCAAAAGCCTTCTTGCAGTCCAAGAAGATGCAATCAACCCATCCCTCTCTCTCGTGTCTTACTTCTGTTAGTCTATCATAAAATTCCAGAAGGTTTGTGACACAAAATTTGCCTTTCATAAATCAGTGCTGGTTGACGTTTATACTCTTGTTCCGCTCCAGGTGCTCCACCACTCTCCTCCTGATAATCTTCTCCATGACTTTGCATACTATACACGTCAGTGACACTGGTCTATAGTTTAGTGTGTGTGTGTGTGTGTGTGTGTGTGTGTGTGTGTGTGTGTGTGTGTGTGTGTGTGTGTGAGTGAGTGGTGTCTAAACTTTGCATTACCGATAAATTTCAGGTTTTGGAGTAAGTTTTAAATGCATATTTTCTCTTATATAGGAGGTGAGGTTCATGGGTAAACACCAGGTGTGACACCTCGTCACGGAGCTCAACACTCAGACGCCCAGAAGATAACCAGTCTCAGCAACACCTCAGTACTTGTGTGACGGCAACCACCAGCAAATATAAAACGAATACATATATATATATATATATATATATATATATATATATATATATATATATATATATATATATATATATATATATATATATATGTATATATATATATATATATATATATATATATATATATATATATATATATATATATATATACATATATATATACATAAACATA